TGCCAGATCATTTGAAGGTAGGTACCTATGATGGATAAATCGGTGTTATTATAAGAATAACTTGTTTTTTTTTGCAATTTTGTTAGTCATTTTCTTGAGATTTAGATATTGGATTAAAAATAAAACAAAGTGGTTTACGTTTATATAACTTTTGGTACCTAGTTTGAATTTTTTATTTATTAAAATCAAATATTTCTTTCAATTTGACATTTTTTTGTATTATACAATGAATATGTTGCTTTATTATTTTAAAATTAGGTATATAAACAAAATCTAAATGTATAAAAACAAATAATATTAGTTTTTACATTAGTTTTTCGTAATTTGATAAACAAGTTTGCTTATACAGGGTGTATCATTAGCGTGATATTTCAATTCGTGTCATAGACATGCAAATAAGTTTCAAATAATGAATTTAAAAAGTCATAATATAAAAATAATTTTAATTATACAGGGTTTTCCAGAAAAGTACTCAAAATAAGGTATTTTTTAGATATTCAGAAAAGCTTTTTTTAAAAATATAATAGTTAAGAAAATAAAAATAGTGTAAATAGTTAAAATAATATACAGCTTGTTTTTTAAATCTGTTTTCACTGGGAACATTTAAATTAGAAAAGGCGACAATTTAAAAATAATTTCGATTATACAGGGTTTTCCAGGAAAGTAATACATATCAAAATTAGATAGTTTTAATGTGACCTATTTTTAAATATGCTGAAAAGTTAAAAATATACAGGGTTAAAAAAATAAAAAGTATACAGGGTGGGCCATTGTTAACGTCTTGGTTTGTAGTTTTTTTTTTCAAATCTGTTATTACGGTTACCACCTATTCTTTTTGGAAAAGGATAGTCCTCTTCTTTTGAAGCAAAATGTCCTTGTGACTTTTTAAAACTTAAAATGTCCTTTTTACGGCATTTTACGGCAAATGTCCTCTTTTATGAAAAAGCACATATTTTTGGAAGGGACATGGTTTGTAGAAAAATATATAAGCTAAGGATCTTTTTTTTGTTTCTTTTTTGTTTTATTTTGTTTTTTTTTGTTTTATTTTGTTTTTTTTTGTTTTGTTTTTTTTTTTGTTGTTGGTTGTTTTTTTTTGTTTTTTTAGAATCTCGGCAAGACGAGGAGGATTTTTTTGTTCAGCTCGACGCCTTTTAGAAGGTCGGTATGAGGAGGATGATTGTTTTTTTGTTAAAGACTTTTTTGAATTTTTTCAATTTTTTGGCTTTTTTGCCTTTCTAGCTTTTGGCTTTTTTGGTCTTTTGGCTTTTTTGATCTTTTTGGCCTTTCTGACTTTATGGCTTTTTGACTTTTTTTTAACTTTTTAGTCCTTTTTGGCGTTTTTTAGCTTTTTTAGATTTTTCAACTTTTTGAATACCAAACCCCCGGTAAGCATCGTAGTTTGTAAAAGAATATATAAGCTGAAGATCTTTTTTTATTTTTCTTTTTTTTTGTTCTTTTGGTTTTTTTTGTTTTTTTGTTGTTGTTTTTGTTTTTTGTTGACTTTTGTTGTTTTTTGTTGTTTTTGTTGTTGTTTTTTTGTTGTTTTTTTTTGTCGTTTTTTTTGTCGTTTTTTTTTTGTCGTTTTTTTTTGTCGTTTTTTGTTATTTTTTGTTGTTTTTTGTTTTTTTTTGTTGTTTTTTTTTTTGTATTTTGTTGTTTTTTGGTTTTTTAGAATCTCGGCAAGACGAGGAGGGTTTTTTTTGTTTAGCTCGACGCCTTTTAGAAGGTCGGTATGAGGAGGATGATGGTTTTATTGTTGAAGAATTTTTGATTTTTTTTTTACTTTTTTGCCTTTCTGGTCTTTTTGGATTTTTTTACTTTTTTGGCCTTTGTGGCTTTTTTAATTTTTTGGCTTCATGACTTTATGGATTTTAGACTATTTCGAACTTTTTTGGCTTTTTTGGCAATTTTGGCTTTTTTTTTGGCTTTTTTAGACTTTTCAACTTTATGAATACCACCGTAAGTATCGTAGCATCACTTTTCAAAAAGGTGGTAACCCTAGTTATTACTTCAAGTTATACAGGGTGTCCCGAAATTACAGTTATATTTTAACAGCGTAATCTACATCTTAAAATAGAAGTAACAGTTCATATGAACATAGGTTCGAAAACGTTTCTTTTCCGAGATACAGGGTGTTAAAAGTAAAGTCCTGATGACACACTTTTGTAAATATTTTCTAAATATTTAAAGATAACTAAGAGAAATTTAGTACAAATGCTTACCTTTTTACGCTTTATTTACTGGGGTTTAAGTTTTTGATCAACTTCATTGGTGATTAAATTAGGGGGGCTTAGGGTAAAATTGCCTAATTTTTTTCGTTGACATTTTTTAACATTTTTGACTATATAATTTGGAAAACCAGTTTTTTATTTATAATAAAGCTACTTTTGTTGCACCTCGCTAAGACGTACCATTTTCAAGAAAAAAGCATTTGAAAATTTCATGATAAGTTATTCGAAAGTGTAAAAAATAATTAATAGGCCTGTGGAATCAGAAATTTTATTTTTTTTTTACTTTGGAAAACCGGTGACTAAGCAATTTTAGAAAATATTTACAAAAATGTGCCATCAGGACTTCACTTGTTAAACCCTGTATCTCGAAAACGAAACGTTTTCGGACCTATGTTTATACAAACTGTTACTTCTATTTTAGGATGTAGATTACGCTGTTAAAATATGACCGTCTAATTTCGGAACCCCTGTATATTAGAAAAGGTAACAATTAAAAAAAATATTTACACATTGTTTTCCAAGAAAGTAATAGATATCAAAGTTAGTTTTTTTTTAATGGAATCCATTTGTAGACAGGCAAAAAATTTAATTTTTCTTAAAAATATACAGAGTGGGCTAACGGTACAGCCTTAGTATATAGACACAAAATTGTTTATGTAAATTAAAAAAAAATAATTATATAGTGTTTTCAAGGAAAGAAATACATATAGAAGATGGATATTTTAAATATTTTTATAAATGCATAATAATCTTGCTGAGAAATAATGACTCCAAATAATGTGAAATATACAGGGTGGGCCACTGGTAACACCTCAGTCTGTAGAGCCAAAACTTTATGATTTATTGTAAATCTTACAGCAAACAATTTTAAATATACAGGGTTCTGCAAAAAAGTAATACATATTAAAGTAGGATTTTTTTTAAATGAAACACTGTATTTTATTTTATATTTAAGTTGCCCCTGTTTTTCTCATTATAATAATACCAAATGGTATGATATTATACAGGGCATTTCACGCGATATAATCAATTTTAAATAAAAATCGTATTGATTTCAATGACTTGTATAGTGCAAAAGAAACATTAAAAACTAATTTTTGATACTGGCTAACATTTATATAAATGCACTACTTTTTAGAATTAGAAACAAATCTGTATGTTGTGAGTCAAAACTCAAATACATAATTTTTTCAGTTTTTTAAATTGTTTTGATATAGAAAAAAAAATATTTTCATTTTTCAAAGCAGTAAAAATATTTTTTACCCTTAAGGTATCATTCCCTCATGACATTTTCAAAATTTTAGAATAATTCTCACTTTTCTTTTCAGCGAATTTCCGTAAAAACACAATTAAATCGCCGAAATATTTTTCGAGTTAATCGGTAATACGATATTATTGGTTTAAGTTTATGTTCATTTCACCTCTGGCAATAAAGACGTTTTATCTTAGAATGTATATCCTCTGACTTACATTGTATTGTCTTAGAATGTACATTCTAGGATCAAATGGACAAGGCTGTCAGATATACTGCCCAGCGATACTTATAAATATCAAAGGGTTGTTATAGAATTGAATATGATACGAGAATCAGTAATGTCGTCGGAATAGAAGATTTCCGGACGCGTTTCAATCGGGAAAATCTACTGAATATTATGGAGAAGCTGAAATACTTTTGGATCCTTAATGGGATAGAAAATGAAGGTGGAATAAGAGGTTTTAAATGGTGAGTGTTTTTGATTTAAATTTATAATATTCTGGAAACAAATTTATTATTATACCATATTAATAATGTTTTTATTATTTCCAATTAGATATAAAAAAAAATATATTTAAAAACGAATATAAAAATTTTGAAACTAAAGGGCGAAGTTTATTTACAATTTCTTTTAGTCGCAATAAAAAATATTCTTTTTCCTAATTTGTGATTAATTTTAATATTTATTAAAAATTCTTGTATGTTGTTTTAGGTGTAATAAGTAGCTTCAAATAGTAAGTTTTTGATTTAAATTTAACTTTTTCTGTTAACCAATTATTATTATTTCTAAAAAAAGTGTTTATTTCTATTAAAATATCTTTTTTGTTTTAATACTAAGAATAGTTATTAGTAAATATAGTTAAATTAACAACATTTTAAGTTTATAAAAAAAAAAACAAACTTTATTTATTAAGAATGTACAAAAATGGATCTTTAATTAATTTCAAATAATTATGTATTACAATGTTTATCGTAATACGATTAAAATAAAAAAAAAACAATAATTCCCTTGTTGACAACGTATTTATAACCTCGGGTTCATCGTCGTAAAGGTACAAAGCGTTGACTTTGCGGATGAGGCACTCCGGGCAATGAACGGTGGATTTCTATCACATTTAGAACAAAAAATTATCAAATGCCACAAACCCTATTCTAATATATCTCACACAGAAACAGAAATACAGGACTGGTCATTGTCGCTTTAGTATCAAACTGGCATGGTCAATGTTTCTTGGTAAGGCCAGGAGCAAAAATATAAAAAATTGGGCGAAAAAACAGCAACAAATTAGCCAAAAATGTATTTTAAGTCGCTCTGCAGACATATGACGTTGCCATTACTTTTATAGACATAGTTTTTCTGTTAAAACAGGTAGTTCAAGTTAAGAGATTGTTTAGTATACTTAAATATTGTAAATTTAAATTATTATGTAAATTTAATGTAAATAATTTAAATAAATCCACACTATTTTGCAATTCCTTACGATGGAGAAAGCAAGTTTCGATGCAATACTAACCTTGATCGCTGAGCGTAGTGACGCCTGCTTGTGGATCGGAGGGCGCCGAAATATCGAAAACTTCCAGTACGAAACTTTGGTGTAAACCGCCATCTTTGCCGGCAATACAAGACACCTCCAAGCCCTCTCCATTTGTAGCGTTTCTTACGAGACAACTTCTCGGCGATTCCGGAGCTTCTGAAAATTTACAATCCTCTTAAACTTTATAGACGAAACTCGGTTTTGTCTAGGAGGGTGAAATATGATTCTTCACTGTTTTACTTATTATGTATATATTATGGCAGATTTTTATAATAGGATATTACGAGACAATAATTCTAACTAGCAAAGTAGATTTATAATTTTTAATCTTCAAGACTATTTTATTTTATATTCACATCAATTTTTTTTTTGACATTGATGGAAACCAAAATAGCGCACACTTGCGTTGGATTAGATAATACAGAAGACAAAACAAATGATGCAACATATAATACAAAGGATAGTGCAAAGAATAATGGAAAGAATAATACAAATGCTAGTGCAAAGGATATTACAGAAGATAATATAAATGATAATACAAAAGATGATATTAAAAATAATACAAAGGATAATACAAGGGATAATATAAAGGATAATACAAAAAAGAATTAAAATGATAATACAAATGATAATACAAAAAATGTTATAATGGATATTACAAAGGCTATTACAAAGTCTAATCCAATGCAACGTTTATTACGTCGCATATGACGACAAAATGCCTTTATCCTATTTTTACAGCTTACCAGCTAAATATTATTATTGCTGAATTAAAAATTTATTATTATGAATATTAGGGTCTATTTTTGTCGTGTATGTATCTTATGATCACTGGTTACAGAATTTACCTTTTACACAAAATGGATCTCGTGCAGTCGAGGATCTTTAACAAACTTAGATTACATACACACTGAATCTACTACTAGTATTACCAATTTGCCTTTCAGTATTTGCAAATTTATAACCCCACTAAGAATTTATGCTTTATTCTTTTGAAGATGTTAATTATGACAGAAATAAGTGATATAGAAGACTTCTGCTTTATTACTAAAATTAAATAACACAAAAACAAAAGTTCCAAGATGTTTTACAATTAAAGACAATTTTTATAACAAGTGATATTGTGGAAGATTAATGTCATATTCTTCTACATATTTAGAAATATCGGTCAAGTGACCGTTACTGTTCACTCCTTTTCAGGGTTTCCAGATTTTTAAAAGAGATGACGGACAGATAGGGGATTTTAGAAGAAATAGGGGGAAGTAAAAACAACTCAGTCTATTTTTACTCTTTTAATCAAAATTTCTTATTTTTACCTAATTTTGGTACAGATACACTGAGATGTTCTTACAAATAATGAGGTGAGAATGTAAAGTTAGAAAATCGAGAAATCGCAAAACGAAATCCAAAGTCAGAAACATTTTCACCTTATTATTTGTAAAAACACCTCAGTCTATCTTTACCAAAAATTAGACATGGATTTTTTACAAAATAAGTAATTTTGATTCAAAAAATTAAAATAGACAGAGTTACTTTTACTTCCCCCTATTTCCCCTAAAATCCCCTGTCTGTCCGTCATCTCTTTCCCTGGTAACCCTGCTCCTTTTCCAAGTATGGAAACATAATTTGTTATTATTATCCTGACAATATGATACTTTTTGTTGCAATCTATGTTTATTGAATAAACTTTAAGACAAAAAATTTGTAATAATTAAGAAATAAATTAGGTAATTTACAAAACTAATAAATTATTCAGCATATCCATAATAGATATGAAACAATAGATGTGATGAAGAGTCTCGTCTACAATCAAATCTAAATACAGGTATAACTCATTGAACACAGTAAATAAAATTACCAGTAGATTATGAGTAATGGCTGATTTTAAGGATCAAAGGATAAATAAAGTAAAAGCATTTCCATGTAAGTTACACGAACTGAGACCTGACCCAAATGACCCAGACGTGCTTTACGTACGGTCATGTTCACAATGCCTCTATTTTCACACCCTCTTCTTTAATCACCAAGACGAGGTAATAAAATTGTTACTAAAAAAATCAGATTGAAAAATGGAAATGTAGTTAGTAGGACGTTAATGCGAAATAAATTGCAAGTCAATTAACATGCTAACTTAGTAATTTAGAAATAGTTATGGAAATGATAAATATAATGAATTTTGTTATTATCTAGAGTACATTAAAAAATATTAAAAACCAGAAAAATATAGTAAACATTTTAATATATATATTTTTTTATAATATAAAGAGATAATAAAAATCGCATTATTTTCCTGAAACTAAAAATTTGAATCAGAGCTTTTTTGGGGTAAACAATTAAATTTTCTTACACAATTTTTATAAATTTTACTTTTTCAATTAAAATTTATTCCTACTTTTAAAAATTTTAAATATGTAGTAAAATATATTTCTTATATTCGAACCAATTTAAAATTAGTTCAACTGGATAAAATATTTATATATAAGATTTTTTATCCTTCTATCATCTACTTTAAAAAATATTATATCAACTTCAATGTTCAAAGATTAAAATAATATTTATCTGGAGTCTGTCACATATTGGAATCGTCGGAAACTAAATAGAAGCTAGAACCACCAGAAAAGCTATTAGAGATTAAAATGCTTCAACAGTATGTATGTTAGTTGCCTCAGATTTAACAAATTTATTCAAAAAAGCATTTATAAACATCTGGAATAAAAAATGGCAAGCTAAAAGAAGTAAAACCAGTCTTAGGTCGTTGGAAACCTGTTTTTAGTGATAAATATCGTCCTGTGGTAATTTCCAGAATTTGAATTGGCCACGCTGCTTTTACCCACAAAGATATCATCAATAAAAGTGATCCTTTTGTATGTGATTTAAGCAATATGCTTATGGAGGTAGAAGGTAGGAAGACGCTGTCACGTGGTCCAAAACGGGTTCACTTTCGCCATATTGTGTTTACGAACCCTTGAAACAGCTAATCATGGTTTCAATTAACGTTATTCTATTTTTATGTCGTTTGCAAACTAAATATATTGTACATATTAGAAGTCAAACATTGGTTGCTTATGCTCAACGTATTTTTAGCAATCTAATAGAAATTTATATGAAAAAATTATCTGAAATCACATTCCACAACTAAGTATATAACATAGTAAACAATGTACAGGGTCGTATTTGGGAAATTGTGGTTTGAGTGATTGTTGCAATCGGATTACTTTTTGTAAAGATGAATTAAAAATGAGAGAATTTGCTAAAGCTGGTGCAATAAATTATATTTAAAATAATGATAAATATTCTCTTTGATATCTTTAATTCTAAAAATTTGCTTCAGTTTCATTATAAAAAGCCTTTGTCTTGTCGTATGCAGGTATAAAAATGTTCTTAAATGACAATGGATAAGCGTTAGGGCAGACTTCACCGTTGTGTTAAAAGATTATAGTGACATTTTTACTTTAACACTGACATTTTTACTTTAACACTGTCATTTTGACACAACACAACGAAAGAATCGGCCCTAAATGCCTTAAAAACACACGTAGGTGTGGCATTTTAATTTTAAATACCGACTGACATTTGCATTTTTATCAATATTCCAAAATCTTAAGACCCCACCGCCCAGCAATTTCTGGGGGGCTATTTTAATAAAAAATGTTATACATTATCGTAAAAACAATATTTTTAAAGCCAGTAAGCACTCACTGACTGTTTCTCTGGGTTTATTTCGAGATAAAAGTCTCCCAAGAATTTGAATTTTCACTGGATTTAAAAATACTGTTTTTGCGTTGACATATGACATTTCTCATAAAATATTGAGAGAAATGGGTTCTTATATGTTTGAAAATAAGTCTGTAGTTTACAAAAAATATAAGTAGGTACATGTTGAAGTAAAAGTTTTCGTGAAAATTGTATTCCTCTAGAACATTTTAAAATGTCTTGTTCATCAAATCAACAAATCTTTAAGACGCTATAGAGTTCTTGGCTTATCAGAAAGTTACGACAGTGTGATAGACCATATTGAACATGATGTCATAATAAACAAACCCCACGCTATTTACAAAATGTATTGTAACATATATTGATGGCTATATTGTATATATTCTCCTAAAAAAGGCTTGTATGTGCGCAGATCAGAAAGACATACAAATATTTTTGTTTAGCGATACACATATTGAAAAAGTCCACAGTATCCCTCTATGGATATGTTAGGTGTTTGTCTTTAATGTGAGCAAATAACAAGTAAAAGGAGCTGTTACTTTTGATTATCCACCTTATGTCAGCAGAATCTGTAATTTCCTCAGTGTTACAAGTCGTTTATAAATAAAATATATTTGCAAATTGCAACGTTTTGATCAGCATGCCTTGAATTTAACTCTGTTATTTAGTGTTACATAAATTTATAGGAGGACAAAAAAAAACAAAATAAATAATCATAACATTAAAAATTACAAACAACAATAAAATCATCTAACACAAATACATAAAACAATAAAATAAAATACTGAAACTCTTAAAACCTAATGGTACAAAGGTAAAAGTGTTTTAATTAAAATGCATTGAAAAAGACTTAGGGAAAATGCATCGTCAACAGGGAAATAAATGGAAATGAAGTTGATTTAAAAATTCAGAAATATAATAAAAACTGTGGTTTTCAAAGTAATTTTTTTACATTATATAGACTAATGTCATATGAGCTTTTTGTGTTTCTAATAACCTATATCTAAGTGATCGAATTAGTTTAGCATTTCTAGTGTCATAAGAGTGAATACTGGACTGAGTAAAAAATGAGGGAACTCTTCTGTGAATTTCAATAAGATTGATATACATATACAGAGACGGAAGAGTCATAATTTTATGTGTAATAAATAAGTCTCTATACCCGACATTTGACAAAATTATTATTTTCCTTTTTTGTTGAACGAAAATATCTTCACACTCAACTGAGTTTTCCCATAATGAGATTCCATATGATATATAAGAATGAAAAAGAGAAAAGTAAGCTATATAATGTTTTTTAATTGACGAAGTAATAACAACGAACTAGATAACTTTTTTCAATTGTCCAATATGACTGGACCAGTTTAACTTTTTGTCTTTAGTAAAACCTAATTATTTTACAGTTTTAGGATCTGGTAATGGTGCACGCAGCGCCCCTTTAA